GAGCAAGTGACTGGGACATTTGCGTTCTCACATACAGCCCCCTCTGGAGAAGCAGATAAACAGTACGTCTATACACAAGGAGGTCAGGGAGGTAAATTGCTGAAGGAAGTCTGGCGAATATGGAAACAGAGCTCAGCTTTGTTGTATACAGATTCAATAAATATCAAGTGTGACATCATTTAACATTGGACGGTACCACGAGGCTGCTCAATTACAACTGTTTTATCATACAGGGATTTCTAAACATGTGTGGGTCACAAGATGAAGCTGAACGATCACAAGACGTTTAATGGAATAGGAAAAAAAAGCCTGTGACGCAAGTGGACACTGTTTAATTATTAAGGATTATAAATCACTGGTGGTGTAATCTGGATACATACTGAGATGATTTGGTTCACAGGAGAGACTGAGGCGTGCTGAGGTTGAGACTGTAATGGATAACGTTGTGATTTAAGTCTAGGGAGTCAGCGATCAGGACCACAGCATCCTCCATTGTACCTCTTGTCCCTCCTTCAACGTGCAGTAAATGGAGGGACAGATAGAGGAGTGGGACTCACAGATGGTGCCAGGGAGCAGAGGGAGTATTCAAATGATTCTTCACAGCTTCGGTGCTCCGAGCTGCTGCAGCAATCGAGGACATTGGCTCCGATAACATCTCACATATTAAAAAACCCACAATAATTATTTCTCCCAAGCAGAGCAGCATTGCAGCTATAGCTTAAAATGTGTGTGTCCGTGTGTGTGTGTGCCAGGCATTGTGCAGCAGCAACCGCAGCCTCTTGGGTTACTGAGGAATGCATTTGAAGACAATCATAATGAAGCTCTGTATCTGCCCAGCTGTAGCCTGAGGGGGATCTCTGAACTGTACTGAACTGGACTGCAATCAGTATAACTACCTCTACTTCCTATTGTATAATTATATACACCCATTGTTGCTACAGACAAAACACTAACACACACCGCAAATTGTCATATAACCATCACACACACACACACACTGTGTCTCATTGTCAGGTTGCTGCAGTGTTGCCGCGTTCATATCACACACACTCAGCCCCATAATCTTGCATTTTCTTCCGAGTCTGATCCTAAATTAAAATCTGGAACAAATCATCTCCTGTGGAATATTAATATTTGTGAAGCTGCCGCATTGTGAGCTCAGGTATAAAATCACAGCTTTAAACCTGGAAAACAAGCTCACACACACACACACACACACACACACACACAGAGCAGCTATAGTGCACAGGAATAAATGTATACTTCAAAGCCTGTTGTCAGCTTCAGATCAGGTTTCCACCTGAGTCACCGCTCGGAGGACACGCCTGTATTCGCTTTGTCAGAACATGACATTACCTTAACAAACGCTGATTCTTTTTCTGCTCCGTCCTTCAATTTAGTTTTCCCCTTCTCTTTTTACACAAGTATACATAATTACATACTCCAAGCTCCCAGATTGTTTTAAAATGAGTCCAACTGGCACCGCACGTCTCACAATGGCACTGCTTCATACATTGCCAAAAACCAAGATCGCATTCACCGCGCAGAACCAGCGGCGTATACAGCTGTCATCTTACAGTTTCCCTTTATAACGACTGGGAACAAAAATGCAGCGGTGGAGGGAAATTTAGGGCAACATACAGATGATTTTGGCCCCAGGTTATGTGTGCAGAAGAAGAGAGCTTGTTGCGTCTCATTGTGGTTAGTTAGCAATGTGGCACAGGCTGAAAGTATAGCTGTTTATAGCTCCCGAAAAACAGGCAAAATGCAGAGCTGGCCCTGTTCAACTCCCTTCAGAATCACATAAAACCCACACAAATACGTCTGAGGGGTATTTGTGCGCCCATGTACACGCACACCACAAACAAAACCTGTGATTATACCCATTCAGACATATACACACTGTAATTACATACAGTGACGCACTGCTGCCCGACATACAGTGATTTAACACGTATAATATTGTCTCATAAATAAAACATGTCGAGACCCAACACGTGATGCACACTGAAAAACGAAAACCACAGCACTTCCAAAACTGGAAATAGTGTGTCCTGGAGGTTGTTGTTGGTTTGTGTATGTGTTTTTGTGTAGGGAACTTGTAAAAAGAAAAAAGGAGGAGGTGGGCCCTGGGGTGGACTCTGGAGCCGCCTCGGGGGTCGGATGTGTGTTTATTTAAGTGTGTGTTTTTCGGAGTCACGCTGAATTTAGGGGGCTAGCCTCGAGATAAGGAATGGAGTTTAAGATGAAAGGGAAATGGGGCGAGGATGGGGGATACACTGGCACGGAGTTTGTGGATCAGAGGGGGGGAGACGAGGAGAGGGGAGGCGGAGAGGGAGGGACAGAGAGATGGAGCGGGGGGTGGGCAGACGAAGGAGCAGACTGTTTTGATGTTGAATTTTAGGTTGTTTATTTGACATTACATAACACCTCTGCTTATATAGTTTGAGCACTTATAGTGTGTGTGTGTGTGGGGGGGAGGTCTGGTAACTTCTTACTGGGAGATGGGAATTTCTGTGAAAGGCAAATGTTGCCCATAGCAACGGCCTTCATTGTAAAACTGATCCTTGGAATACAACACACACAAACGCACACAGACACACACACACACTGGCAGCCATGCTCACACTGACACATCTTTTCAGTACTTTGCCCCCATACACACACACACACACACACAAACACACACACTTTTAGCCTGGATGCGTGAAGCACACTCACTCTCAGGCTCTACTTTGTGAAGCTCATATCCTCGGTATGTGTCGAGGCTCCAAACAACTTCAAGTCAATTTCATTTTCAGGAGGTACATATAGCGTTTCAGCTCCGACTCATGCTGCGATATGATGGACTGAAATGCTCAGGTTTCTAGATTCCATTATGCTTTTATTGGCTTTTAAAGGCATCAGGTTTCCTCTGTCTGGAGCCGGGGAGGAGCCTCAGCTTCTGTGTGTGTGTATGTGTGTGTGTGTGTGTGTGTGCATATACATCCAATGAGCATCACACAGGCTAGTAAATACACAGCTCTGCTGGGCCTCAGGATGGGCTTAAGATTGCTGAGGTGATAAGTTTGCTTTGGTCACATTTGCAGCAGTGGACTGACTGTTTTCCAATACCTGGAGCTACACCCAGCCCTTTGTTTTATGCAGTGAAACAGTGCACTTCTCAATCTAGGTTCAAAATTCAGCTTAGAAACAAGTATTCAGCTCCTTTACATAAGTAAATGTTGCAATACCACATTGTAAATTTTCATTACAAGCATTAAGTAAGTACATATTTTACAAACAACCTGTATGTAAATGTTGTTCCTCGTAGTGATGATACCACAAAACATTATCGCCTGACTCTGCAGTATATACCCCTCTGCTCTGCAGACTGTTTAAGCAACTTTCAGCTTTTAGTGTTGTTTTTTCACATTTCTGGCAACTTTTACTTTCCCCGGCAGGCAGCTGACATAAATCCTCTATCCATTACCTGACCACACCGGCAGCTGATGGTTAGTTTGTAAGGAATGAAGCATTTAGCTGCTGCAGAACAGCCAGTTCATGGTCAGGAAGTGGTTAAAAATAAATAAAAATGGAGCTTTAAAGTGTGAAAATGAAATAACCGGTGATGCAGAATGACGTCCAACACCTATTTCACTCCACATAATGTTTAGCCTGATTTTTCACTTGCCGACAAATATTAAAACTCACCGGTCAGTCATTAAGATTGAACTGTCAATGTTGATCTTGTATAAATGAAGTAAAATGAATAGTTTATATTTAAAACTACAGTGGCAGAAAGTAGCAGTTAAACATATCAGTAGAAATTAATGATATTTTCACAATAAATGTACAGTGTATAGTATTTGTTAATGTGGCTGCATATATAGACTATCTGCACATCTCGAAAAAGAACAGTGCTGTGCATCGTGGTTTGATTATCATTGTACTGCAGTATGGGTGGTGTCTCCTAAGTGCATGGATCTAAACTATTAGTTGACCTCATGTGATGGGAAAAAGGCCTCTGAGTGCTAAAGTGTGTGTTTAAACATGGCAGGGATGTGGGATTGAGGTCAAGAGAAAGAGAGATGAATGGAGAGAAAGGGAGAGAGAGGAGGGATCAGCCTCAAAGTGACCGGAGGCTCGAGGTCGTTCACTTCAGAGGTTCAAACCTCAAACGATCCACAACTAATCTCTCTTTACCTGACCCTGACAGAGGTCGCCAGCTGAGATCACGTTCTCCCCTCTCAGAGATAAATAGGTTGAGTCCTCAAAGTGCAGATGTAATTCATTCAAAGCTATAATATGTAACAATTCTTCATCAAAACACTTAAAAACAACTAGACTTCTGTTATATATTTAGTTGACTTGCATACTTACGTCATCCAAAACGTTGTGGATTTCATATTGCACTTTTAAAAGACTGATATTTTCCTGAACCTGACGCTGAAACAATAAGTTGATCGATTGATGAGCTGATCGATCATTTGACAACTGATTGAGGAAACATGCAAGATAAGAGTTTCGTGTTTCAGCCTCTCACATGAGAGGATTTGCTGCTTTTCCAAGTTCCATTTTATACACAAAATCATTTATGCATTGGGATTGTAAAATTTATATTTTTTGTAACATTCTACTGAAATAAAGATTAACCTATTGATCATTAATTAAAAGACTCGCTGAAGCTCGAGTTCAGAAGTTAACTGCTTTTCTGGGCTGTGTATCTTTACATTCTGAGCATCAGCTGCGATTGACACAACTAAATGAAACCCCTCTCTCCTTAAACGATGTTCCTCTGCCAAAATCCCAGCTTTGGATCAACTCATTAACTATGCTCCTCCATAGAGCGTCAGACAGACAGATGTTAGCCTGTCCCCCACCATACCGCGTGTGTGCCTGCATGTAATCTGCCAAAGTGGTTCGTCTTTCAGATGTGAATGACAAACAGCTCAGTCATTCCTGATGAATAATTCTAATCTCTGCACCCCCCCACCCCCTCTACTCTGTGTCTCCAACAGGGACAGACGTGGTCGCCATCCATCGATGACGAAGGCTCGACGAGAGACGAGTTCTACGATGATGAGGACCTCTACTCGGGCTCAGGCTCTGGCTGTAAGTGTGTGTGTGTGTTTGTGTATGTTTCTGTGTGTGTTTGTGTATGTTTCTGTGTGTGTGTGTGTGTGTTTCTGTGTGTGTGTGTGTGTGTGTGTGTGTGTGGTTAGTTACACATTCACGCCCTGCTTCTTTCAAACTCGACAGCTGCTGGGTTTCAATCTGCTGACCCTGAGGACCCTGCTGCCTCCTTCCACCCCCCTTCCCTCCATTTATGGTTGCTCTCATTCACCAGACTTCACATGCACAGTCACACAATGCAGACAGGCAGGTTTTGATGCAGATTAATAAAAAACACCTTTAAACACAGACACACTCTTGCAAACAAGAAGTAACCCTGGCCTGATTCTCCCAGATCTCGTTTGCTCTAATCAGATTACAGTCCACACAGATTAGACGATCACACGCATATACCAGCAGTCAGTTGGGTGCACCTGTCTGCGTTTGAGTGAGCTGGCTGTCTGCGTGCGTTGGAATTACCTGCTTAACGAAAATCACGTTGGTGTAATTCAGGCTGATTTTGTGATCTGGCTCCTGAAGCTTGAGCACGGCTCTCCTTATTAAGCATGACTCATTGAGGGCTGCCCTCGGTTCACGCACTGCGCTATAGTAGCGGGCACGCTCAAAATAAATTACAATTCAGAGCAGGAGAGTGCAGCAGAGGCACCCCCTGTGGTTGAGACAGCCGCCCAGTAAATTGCTTCATCTCAAACTGTGATACAGAGCCGTCGGATTCCGAAGAAAAGATTCATTTTCAACACACGGTTTGTGCGTTTTGTGCCGCCACAGCTCCTGAACGGGGCATTTTGCGACTGTCTGATGTGTTTAACAGTCGTTACATTGTTCCAGGCCATATTTCCATATCCTCTCCAGCACCTCTGTCAGCTTTCATGCCATTGTGTCTGTAAATTCAATTTGTTTCTCTTTCAACTCGGGGAGCTCCACAGCTATAACAAAATGAAAGGTGTTATAACACTATTATGAGGTTTAAGAAGAAAATGAATCACTCGGCATTCACCATCTCCTTTTCTTCTCTTCTCCTTTCTTGCACATTGCTGACTAATTTTTAATATGCACTTTTCTCTCCTTCCATACCAAAGCAACAGAAACATTGATTTAATCTCCTGCTCTCCCTGTTGAATACAATCAAACCCACAGTTCACCATCGTTATTCTGTTTCTGTTTTCTTGTGGCTAAATGGAGAAAAAGTAGCGATTTGATTGCAGCTCTGATTGTTGCGATGATTCATCGACAAAATCACGACTTTATGAATTAGAAGTTACTTGACAAAACAAACCCAGCTGTGTATGTGTCTCTAGGTTTAATGACATTTAAAATGTATCTTCGCAGATAAAGTTAAAAGAGCAGTCCACCCAGTTCTACAAACTAAAGTCAGTATGAGACAAGGTTATTTGAGTTTGGGCTGAGTAAACTGAAATGTAAAACAGAAAGCCTGAACATTAAAGACTGGAGATGTATAATTTGAAAGACATGGGCATTCATCAGGCAGGGGGAAATGTAGGATGCAGCGTTAGGGGAGAAAAAGTCAGATAATCTTTGCTTCCATATAGCAGTTTAGATTTTATTTCTGTGACAGCTTTATAAAAAACCAATCCCTCATTGCTGCATTGTGCCACTGACTTTACGCCTGCATAGTCCCAACAGGCTTACATCATAGCTATCAAATGTCACCATCTTGGACCATCATTGAGGGATAGTTGACCTCTAAGATGATTGGAGATGATTTAACTAAAACAAACTTCCTGTTTACTTTGTGGTGGGTTATATACACTCAGGGGCCCATCAGATTTCAGATGAGGCCAACTTACAATACTAACATTAAATATGGCAATTTCAATTTGTTTTTCTCAGTACACAATGTGCTTGAACAAGGAACAATTTTTAAAATATATTCAATGATGCGTGGAACAGTGATCAAGGAATGATGTGCGCCTCACTGAATCAGGAAATGTGGATGGATGTTGGACATATAATTTATAATACGCCTTTATGAACTCTAATTTAGAAAAATGTAGGTCTGTATGCTTTATACACTCGAATGCATCCATTAGATCATGTCCTCAAGAGTCCGCATAAGGGTTGTTTCAGTGCAGCGAAAATTAACAATCGAGTGAAACAACACCTGTTAACGATGATGCAAAATGATCATGAATTTGAAATGTCTGAAATATCAATTCGCTGCTAATCGAGAGTAAACTTGAGTTTGTGAGGCAGCCACAGTTTTACTGTTATCTGTGAGAGTGTGGGCAGGTGGGTTGTGTTCAACACTGCATCCCGAGATGTGTGAGTGAGATTTGTACATAAATTCACTTGTGGCTGATGGATTAGATCATGTTTAAATTCACCACATTCTCCGCTCTGCTCCTCTCCAGTTCCTGAGGTCAGTGTGAGGCCGACCTCAGTGGGCGTGTCCTTCACCACAGAAGAGCCCCTCATCCTCTCGACCACCCAGGCCACTAGCCCCGCCCCCTCCGCCTCACCTGCGGCCGAGCCCAGCCCAAGCCCAGAGGAGCCCACCGCCACCCCGACGCCCACCGAGGCAGATGGAGAGAGTGGTGCATTCTGGGAGCGAGAGCTGGAGAAGGAGAAGGAGCTGGAGAGAGAGAGGCAGAAGGAATTGGAGAAGGCCAAGCAGCTGGAGAGGGAGAGAGAGAGGGAGAGAGAGAGGGAACGGGTCAGGGAGATGGAGAGAGAGAGGGAGAGAGAGAAGGAGAGGGAGAGAGAACGTGAGAGAGAACGAGAGAAGGAGAGAGAGAGGCAGAGAGAGAGAGAGCTGGAGAGGGAGAGAGAGCTGGAGCGAATCAGGGCTGCTGCTGCCGCCCAGACCACCGCTGCCCCAAAGTCACCTGCTGCCGTCCCTGTGGTGACCACCAACCCTGCAACCAGCCCCTCAGAAAGTGCAGCACCCTCGGCTGGTTCTGATGACCTGAGCACCACAGAAGAAGAAGAGGACGTCTACCTGTCCCCGGAGCCTTCCTCGATGTACCCCGGCTTCGACATGGAAACCACCACAGAAGACAGAACCACCACAGCAGAGACCACACCCGAGGCCACAACAGCTTCTCCTACCACCACCACCACCGTCAGAACCAGGGTCCCCTTCAGGCCCAGGGTTCCCATGACAACAGCCACTCAGGGGACGCCGACGGAGAGAGAGACACCTCCACAGCAGCCCACAACCACACAGGTAGGAGTCTCATATCACAACATGCCTCTGACAATGGATTAGATACTGTTTTACATGTTACTGCAATATTACAAGTACAATTCTGGTTCCAAAAGAAAGCTCCTTATTAACAAATACAAACATGTGTCATCACAAATCTTTTCTCATTTAAAGAGTCAACATGAGTTGATAAAAAACCACTCTGAGCTCTGTCACTTCAGTATGAAGCTAAAGTGGAGTTGAAACAGTCAAACTGGTTCTGTCCAAAGTCTAAATTTCACCGACTAACATCCAGTACCTAAATTCACAAACAGACATGTTAAAATGTGTGTTTTGGAGGTACTGTAAACTTTGGTGAGAGCTGGTATGTTTTGCCAAAAAATAATTGTCTACCTGAAAAGTCATTACGTCATTAACTGTATTTTCCCAGTTTATAGTTGTTCTTATCTGGATCAAACACTCATGACTGGTTCTTAGGGATGTAAATGTAAAAGTGTAGTGCGCACACCTCTGCCAAGGCCCAACAGTCCCCTTTATGAAACCACATTTAAATTATCTCGATCTGGAAATCTTTCTTTTTACCAGTGTAAATATGTCTAAAGAGACAATACAACTCCTAAAAATGTTCCACTGGACAGCAAAGACTTTCTGGTGGACGATTACTATTTGATATGACACCAGTGTAGGCTGTTCAGCTCTTTTCAATTTGTCAACTTGATACTTCCACTACAGAATACTTTCAGACGTGTCTGTGATGCACAACCCATTCATTCCCACTGAAGACATTCATCTTTAACTATAATCAAAAATGGTACTCGAGTAAAGTGATTTCCAGAAACTGCTGCGTCCTGTTATATTCAGAAAATGTTTCCTAAAAGCAGGAGTTAATGGTGTATTAGTGGATTAATATACATCCAAATGAAGGAACATTTCCACGGCTGCAATTGTGTGACTCATTTATGTGTTTTAAATATCTTTTGGACAATGAGTAGTTTGGCTCAGAACAATGAGATACATAAATATATATCAGGCTTTGGCTGCACAGGCAGAACTTCTCAGTGGGAACAGTTTATTCTTCGTTTTGATGGGATTTATTGACAATAAGGAAAATATAGAAAATCAGCAGTGTCAGGTTTGTCTAAACACAAGAACTTTTCCTGAGTAAAACGAAAACTACTTTTGACAGGATGATGATTTTAATCAGGGGCTATAAGAGGAATACAATTGCACAGTAGTAGGTTTGTTTCACTTGGTTCCAATAGAGGTCTGATTCCCAGGCTGAGTTCGTATGACGTCTTTACCACTGACAGTTAAATTATTTACAGACCAGAGTCATGTATATGATTTGTGTGCATGTGTTTATTTGCAGTGTCCCTGTATTAAAGCATGATGCTTTTAGACTGGTCTGGTTTTCCACTTTGTAATTAAGCTCCCAGATTTTTTGAAATGCGTATATGTGCTGGACGACATACAGCTTTCCACCACTCAGAATATACAGAGGCTCATTGTTTCAAATTGGAACATGTGCCATGGAAAGCTCTGTGTTTCAGTTGGACAAGTTTCAGTCCAACAGCTCCATGAAACAATGTTAGTCTCACTTTCCTCTCTCTCTCTCACTCTCTCTCTGTCTCAGGAGAATAACAATGAGGTGGGTGCTGCAGGACCAAGTGGAGATTTCGAGATTCGCGATGATCGTCGGAACGAACTTGGTCGAGGGATACTGCCTGTAGATCCTGATCTGATTGGCAACACAGTGGATGGAGGAAGCTCTGCTGCGCAGCTGCCACAGAAAAACATCTTGGAGCGAAAAGAGGTCTTGATAGGTAAGAATATCTTCCAGTAAAATCAAAATAATGTTTCCAGTTTGTTACTATTTTGTATGTTTCCTCTTGTCTGAGGATTTGTCTGTCTGACCCTGTGTCTTCTGTCATTCTGCCTCAAATAATAATCACCCTGTAGACGGACAGATTCAATTTCCCGTTGCATCTTGTGCTCTTTCCTTTTCCTTTTTTGGGAGCTGCATATACAAACTGGTGTTACTTTGCCTCCACGTAGTGTGGATTCATCATGTGCTACTTAGCCCAGTTTGACCCATTGAGAACAAGCAATCCTCTTGGGTTATCCGACCCCTCCTTTCTCCTCCTGTCTTTTTCTCATCATTTTCTCTTTGGGTAAATCCAATTTCTTTTGAAGTGCCCCCCCCCTCCTGATTCCAAAGAGCTGTTGTTAAAAGCGAGGGAGCAGCCAACTCGCCCGACCTGACTGGCTCTCTGTCTCTCCTTCAGCTGTTCTGATTGGTGGACTGCTGGCGGTGGTTTTCGCTGATTTCCTGGTCATCGGTAAAGAGCAGGAGGCAACAGACTTTAGACTAGACTGTTTGTGTTATAGAACCAAATTACAGCAACATGTCAGGCTCATACATTCATATATACAATGGTGTATTCAGGCGCTTCATTTAGCAGAAACACGTCTTTGATTTTTCACACTGATTCAGGAGGCTTTCAGAATTTTACCCCAAAACGATGAGATGGGAGCCATTAAGGCAAAACAGGAATAATGCAATTTCTTTTAAGTCTTGAAAAATGAAGCGTATTTTTGCCTCAGGCAATTTTCTCAAATCGTATGATAATTCAATTTTATTTGTTTCCTTCATATTGATTTTGATCAAAATCCACCACCTCTATTCCTCCTTCATAATCTATACAGTGGTTCAGAGTGTTGTAGCAGCTGCATCAATATTTTAAAAAGACAAAGCGTCTGAAGGCGAAGCTCTGCACTGAGGCTCATGGGTGCTCTGAGCTAAATACTAATGTTAGCATATGAAGCATGGCAGCTTTCTCACTCTGCCAAAACTAACATGAGGATGTTTAGCAGGTGTAGTGTCTACCATGTTCACCATGTTAGTTTAGGATGATAGTAAAAAATGCTAATTAGCACTGAACACAAAGTAAAGCTGAGGCTGATGAGAATTGTATAAACCACAGAGAAGTGCACAAATTAGAAAATTCACTGGATGGAAATCAGCAGTATCAGCTACATTGGGGCCAGCTCAGAGCATTCAAGATTCAAGAACTTTATTATCATTGCGCAAGCACAATGAAAGTACAAAACTAATATCCTCAAATACAATTTTATATATATATATATCATACAATATTAATATGTATATAAAATTTCAAATAGCTGTCAAGATATGTAAGTATGGACCAAAGTGATTTACAGATTTGCAGAGGCATGTATTGAGCAGGTTTTAATAAGAATTCTTTTTTAAATAAAAAGAAATTGTGCAATTATTTTCCTTATCTAAAATACTTTGTTTTCCACATTAAAAACAAATATGGGAAATTAACATATTCCGGCACAGTATAAGACAAAAAGTACAAAATGTTCAACTACAAGAAAAGGTGTTTCAGAGATGTCCAGTTCTTTTGCAGTTCTCTGACGGTGACATGGTGGAAAGTTATATTGTTTTAAATGGCCCAGCTTGTAAAGTCTGATACTGGCCTTAATGGTACACACACAGTAAACACCTCCCACACAATGAATGGAAACAAAGTGTTCCTCTTGCATTTAGGAAAAACAACAAACACTTTGTTCACTGTTATGGCATCAACACCAGTTCTTTTACTGAGGAAAGTTTTTTTTCTTAATCCATTTGATTGCGTCACATTCATCCATCGCACACAGCAAGAGTTCATTAGTGCTACGTGCAGTGAAAGGTGGAAAGATGCAGCGCCTGGATAGGTTACACCAGCCCCATCGGGCAAAACTACGATGTCGCACTGCAGGGCTGCAATTTAGCACAAAGCTGTTGGCAACGCAGAACGTATGTTGGCCCATTCAGGCTCATCAGTCCTCACTTAGCAGCTAGGTGATAGTGATGCTGTGGTAGCTTTGCTCTGCTTTCAGACTAGAGTGTTTTCTAGTAGTGATGTAGTCCGCTGCAGGATGTAACCGTGGCGCTAATGGCATTTTTGTGTTTGTTTATGTGTATTTCTGCATTTGTAGCATCTACACTGTAATAATCTGGAAAGGTATTCTGATTTCCACCATGTCCTTCTGCATTTCTCTAGCCGTGATAGTGGGAGGTGTGGTCGGCGCCTTGTTCGCGGCCTTCCTGGTGATGCTGCTGGTGTACCGGATGAAGAAGAAGGACGAGGGCAGCTACACGCTGGAGGAACCTAAACAGGCCACGGTCACCTACCAGAAACCAGACAAGCAGGAGGAGTTTTACGCATAACACTCGTACGCCAGAGAGACACCGCACACCGAGGGAGAGAGAAAGATGGAGAGAGAGAGAAGAGAGATACTCTCAGTGCCCCCTCGTCCTCCTCCTCCTCTTCTTTGTTGCTCCAACCTCATCTGCTCGCCTCTCCTCATCCCTCTCTCCTCTCGTCTCCAAAACACTTGAGAGCGCCTTTCTCTCTGCGGACTTGGAACTTTCTTTTCAATGAAAATGAAAAAGAGGACAAAAAAATCCAAATATATTCTGAAAAAAAAATCCCACATACACACGAGATGTTTTTAAAGTAAATGTTGTTATTAATATTCTACAGATTCTCTTGTTCTGTATGTAATGATATGATTATTTTCTAAAAAAAAAACTAAACAGAGCAAAACACAAGCGCTTAACCTGTGTTTTCCAACACACAAAAGTCCCCCTCTTCTGTTTTTATGGAGCAAATGAAAGGCTTAAAGGAAAGAGGAGAGGAGAGGGGCGGAACGAGCTGAGGGAGACACAAAAGAGAAAAAAAAACAGCGTGATGGGCTCGACTCTGCCCCTCACCCCCTCACAAATAACACGTAGGGCGTCTGGTTGGCCACACAGAGCCAAGGGTCAAAGGTGAGAGGAAAGGTCTCTTTTGTGCCTTCCATCCCTTTGGTGCTCAAACACTTACATACATACAGCCACATAAACACACGCACATGTACACACACACACACACACACACACACACACCACACTTGTATCTGCTCGAAGGTGGCTCTGACCTCTCTCTCTGTGCTCAGCCAACCAGAAAACAACGCTCAACCCTTGGCGTGTTCCACAGCGTCGAGGAGCAACTGTGGAAACACCGGCTGGTCGCGTTGAGGCTCGCTCCACGGCCGTCTGCTCCTCTAAGCTGTACAAAGAGTAGTTATGGAAAGTAATAATAATCAATAATATATCAATGTTTTGGGCTGATGGTGAACAATAATAATACCGTAATAATAATAATTATGATAATAATAAAACTTCAACAGGAGGATGTGTATTTAGCAGTTTAAAAAAAGTTTATATGTAAATATTGTATCCTTTCTGACATCACTAACCATCTGCATGATCATGAAGAGTTTTTATTCATCACATTCGTCATCACTCTAGATGAGCTGTGCTCTCGTCAACCACACAAACACACACAGGCATACACAGACACATTAACACACCACACAGACTTTAAATATACTGTAGATCATCATCATTCAAACACATATCAACCCCATCATCATCATCATCATCATCGCCATTGTGATAGTCATCACTTTTGATACGAGCGCGATCGGGTGGTTTCAATATGTTATTGATTAGTTGTCAATCAGTTGCTGCGGTTGGTTTAGAGTTTGGTCTGTTTGTATAAAAGCACAACTATCGTTTCAGTCATCACGTTGTCCGCCATCACGTTAACCCCCCCGACCCACACACCTTTTGCATGCCTCACTTTGTTTTTCTTCCACCATTGGCTCTCTGTTTGGGGATGGGAGGGGCCACTGGGAAGCATGAGGGGCTTTAACGAAATCAGGAAGTGGAAATCCGTGCAGGAAGTTGCTCACACGTGCACTAATTCAGTCAAAAACAAAATCACAGTTAAAGCATTGGTTATGATTGGAAGAAAAGAAGACTGAATCAGTGTTTGTGGTATCAACTTAAACCTGCAGCACCATTCTGGGGACCGGGTCATGGGTAATGGGGTTTAGGATTCAGTTCGGGGAAGGGGATTGTGAGGAGGGCTGTGCTTCTATCTAAGAGATTGTAACAATAACCACACCAGTGTGACTGGGCTAGTAGCTTCTATTATACTCAGTACTGTAGAACAAAAATGCATGGGAGTCAAAACTATACTAGTCTGGGTGTGCGTGGATGCTTGTGTGTGTGTATGTTTTTGTCCGTGTGTGTGTGATAGAAAAAGAGGGTTGAGTTTAAGATGGAATGTACTGTGGTCGAGAGTGTGTTTACCTACCCCAGCAGTTCTCACGCTCTTCCACAGACAGGTAACACACCTCTTCTACTCCTGTGTGTACGTTGCCTGCCCCCTCGCCAGTGCGAGAATATGTGCGTGTGTCTGCACCTCATCTAAAGCCACCACCTGTATGTGTGTGTGTGCGCGTGAGTGTCTCACCTCGGTATTTCACAGCAGACTCTTGTGTACACTGACTAGCCTGTCGATGTGTGTGTCTGCGTGTGTTTAGTCTGTTCACTGCTGAATGTGGGGCAGCTGGTCCCTCACAGTGGCTTTCACACACACACTGACTGTGTCTTCTCACTGTCTGTCTGTCTGACTCGGCCTGTCTGTCTCTCTGCAACAGGGACAGATGGACAGGCAACACGCCACTTTCTCACAGGCAGGAATGATCTTAACACGTACTGTCTTTTCTAAAGTGACTGTCAAAATGTAAACGTGTGTTTGTACCCATATAAGCCTGCGTAGCCAAATAAGATGTGTGTGTGTGTGTGTGTGGGTGAGAGAGAGGGTGGATTTGTATGTGTGAGAGTGTAGGTATGTGCGAGTGTGTGTGTGTGTGTGTGAAGCCTAATGGAGGCTACACTACTCTATGTTTGCTGTTCCCATTCCTGTTTTTATACATTTGCATTTTTTTAAGGCTGAGTTTCTGTCATTGGCTGAGTGGGCGAGAGGAGGCGGATCCTCCACGCCACTGCCCTGTCACTAATCTGCCACTCTGTTCCAAATAAAAAAACCTGATTGGGTAAATCTGTCCTCTCTTGTCTTTCCTAATTAGAAAATAGAAATTGAGATGTTGTTTGTGTCCAGTCTGGTCTCATGAACACATGTTGCACTGATCATTAATCTAAATTGAAGAACAATCACATGCACACCCTGTTTCCACTTTATTTACTACCAGCAGTGGAAAACATTTAAGTACTCCTATCTCCCTATTGATGCCACCTACAGCTTCAGTTCTCTGTCACCTCCAAGTTTCCATTAGTGCTACAGGTATTAGCATCATTATTTGTCCAGTAAACAACTGCTACTCCTGTCCTACAAAAATATAATGTGTAAAAATATTCAGCTTGTGTAATTTGAATAAACACCATTTGATTCAGGAATGTGAGCACAATATAAAGTGAACAGTCAAATGAATACATTTGACACACTGCAAAACTGGACTAAAACATTACATGACAAAGCAGAACCCACTTTAACCAACATTGTACTTAACTTGAATTTTCCCTAAAACAAATACACCATTAATCAAATACCAAAACCAATTACCATGCAGTGAACATGGGGATTTCACAGCCTCTGGGGATCACGGGAATCCAGCTTTGATCTTTTATATAATTGTGCATTTTTTTCTCACACAAACGCTTTGAGTGAACTCTAAATTCAATCATTTCATTTTCCCTATTTAATGAAGTACTGTAGAAAGAAGGTCCTGTTTTTGAATCTGGACTTAGTGAGGATTTTACGTGTCATGCTCTGGTTCTCTTTGACATTCAGTTTATTGCTTAATGTCAGCGGAGACGCACTCCATCCTTTGTGACCCTGCTCAAGGATAAACAGGTATTAAGAATGATTGAAAGGACTTTTTTAAAAGGCAGGAATCACATAGTTAATGTCAATAAAGCACATTTTAAAAAGGTCTTTTCATTCGTAAGAAAATGAATAAATCCACGCGTCCTTTTAGGGTCGTGTGAGGAGCTGGGTCCAACCCCTGCTGATTCTGACCGAGGCCTATTGGCAGGTTGCCATTGTATTGCAACCAAGAAACTGCTGCACCACAGTGCTGCATTATGAAGAAATACCAAATATAATGTTATGTTGAACAGCACTACGAAAACAGAGAGGGGAAGCATTACATGAAAATATTGCCACGGTATCCTGTTATTGTTTTCACTTATCACCACCTGCTACTTGTGAAAGTCTTAAGAGGAGCTGCTTATGAGCTTTAAATTGTAGCTTTCAACACAATTACTCCTGATTCTCCTCGAGTAAGTACTATTGCTTTCATTAACAGCACTCTCACCACCCCCTAATTAAAGCTGCAGTTCATTTCAACATGGATTAATATGAATTCACTGACTGAAACCGTTGGTTCACTTAAAACATAATTTTCTCACCATAGCCTCTATTGGTAGGAAACCATGCAGACCACATCCAGTTTTGAGATGTCTGGCATTTCTGCTCACAATAATTATAAAACATGTTAAATCCAGAGAAACAGACGATGAACATTACACCTTTCAGTTCCATCATGGTCTTTGGATTATCCAAAGTAACCAGGACATTGTTGCTGGTAAAACAGACTACTGTTGAATTATTTAGCTTTAGTTTTCAATGCTCTGACACATGAAATTCCATCAGTGTCTTTTTTTCTGGTGTCGAGGAGAAATCTCAGAGACATACTGTATATCTCAAAACCTGGAGTACTATTTGCATGACAAGGTGAGGTTAGTCAAAAGATATATAATAATGTCTTAGTCTTCACTGTGACTTCTCTCCTGCTGCTGGATTCAGTTCAAACTTGAGTCCCCAGATTTTGTTCATCAGTTCGCTCACTGAGCAGTGAGTGTTTGAACAAGTGGGTAAAACAGGCGGCTCGTGTTGGAAATGTATTTTAGTGTTGCACATTTAAAAGAGCTCACATGAAGACATGAAGTCTCGCTCTGGTGTTATCACACACCAGCTTTAGCATGGCCTACATACCATTTCTAACCCACTGACATTAAATGCAACCCTGTGCACCTCAATGCTACATCTGACAGAGCTGCTGTGTGTGTGTCTGTATGTGTGTGTGTGTGTGTGTGTGTGTGATTACTGCCTCTTCACAGCCCATTTACACAGACTGAACCCAGTGAAACCTCGAGGGAGAAACAGCCAGAGATGTTATAATTCTTAAGTCGTCACATGAAAATGTTCTTATGAAATAATTAGATAAACTGTCCTCTGGGGTTTGTGAGCACACAGGAAGGGGCATTATTCTCCTCAGTTTACATTCTTAGCAACAAACCAGATGAAGCCAAGGTCAATGGGAGTGGAGGAGCACCAGTGGGTCTGCAGACGGCCTTTCCCTGGATCCAGTCACGACAACAAGCCATCCTGGCCTTGGGTAGTGAGCTGCTGATACGGAAATTAGCCATTACACAGGCGGCGAGGGGGGATGATGCATCAGCTTTCTTCTGTTTGGAGAATAAAAGCTTTACTACTCCTGGGTTGTAGACAGGGGGTGGTGTCTGGGGTCCAGCTCGTACCCCATCTGGTGGGTGATGGAGGAACAACTGCAATAAAGACAATCTGACAGAGAACCTGATTTTAAACTATCAATATATTTAACTGTCTGTCTGGTTGCTTGTTGTTTCTGGTGTTTATAAGCTTGCATCTAGATTTAAAGAGGTATAAGTATGATAACATACCCTATTAGTGTACCAGTACACGTTATAATATATTTAAGAACTAAATTTTTGCAATAATCTCTACTCTGACAACATATCTTTTTAGAGATATATTTTCATGGTATTTGATTTATAGGAGTATGATAATTTTTAAATTTAGCCTGCACATATTTTTGAATTGAGCATAAAGTGTTAATCATAAAAAAGAAACATACTACGCATTTAAATTGTTGGAAATTGTTTTCATACTATGAATATGAATATTATATATAGATTTACTTATTAAATGTAGATCATATATTTACTCATATATATGGATTCATATAAGGGATGATTAAGGTGAAATATTTAAAATAATTAAAATGCATACATGGCAAAGCTTAGGTTATTGTACATTCAGCTATGAAATATATAGTTTGACATTAATAATCAACAAAGAAAAGTTTGATTTATAATTCTGTATATGTCTATTTTAAGTTTATTTGTATATGTAAATTGTATGTATGTAAATGTTTGCAATGTAAGTATAGATATGTTTATTTTTTAGTATATGTGAATATGCAAATGTGTACATTTATATTTGAATAGCATATGTACATTTGTGCATTATAAGTAAATATGTGTACATTTGAAGAATAAATGTATATATGTGCATCATAAGTGTACAAGTTCAGCTGTGTATGTGTTTATCTAAAGTATATAAGTACAGATGTGTATATCTGAAGTATATAAGTACAGATGTGTTTATCTAAAGTATATAAGTAAAGATGTGTATATCTAAAGTATCTAAGTACAGATGTGTATATTTGAAGTATATAAGTACAGATGTGTATATTTGAAGTATATAAATGTATACTTGTGCCTTTCTCTCCGTTCCTTCCTGGTTGGCCTGTGCTGGTCGCTGATTGGCTGCTCGTGTTGACCCTTCACCGGATAATTCTGCTGCTCAGCGCTCGTGAGGAGTCAATCTATCAATCAACGTGATGATTGGCTGCCAGTCAGGAACCGTGTTCTCCGTGAGGCCGCTCGGTTAATTGATTATTAGTGAACGTTTATTGGTGTTTGACACCGACCGTTAATATGGACGAAGACTGTGATGTGGCAGAAGATGTTGGTAAGGACTCGTGGGACTCGTGGGACCTCTGGACTCACACTTTGCTTTTCTTGTAACTTTTATCTTCCGACCAGAAGTCAGGCTATACTCTTTATCTTTGTTAGCTTTGATGGACTTTTAAAAACTCTGTGTGTGTATTTAAAGCTCCTAATCTTCCCTGTGAGGTGCAGCTCCCGGTGCTGCTCGACTCCACGGAGACATTTAACAAATGAAAAGCGGTTTATTAACACCGACGACCCCGCAGTTTGAGGACTGGGGACGGGTTAGCCGGGTTAGCAGCAGCTAGCCGGCATCGGTTAATTAACGCGCAGGTGAGGAGGCACGAGGCGCCGCTCAGCTGGGACCCTCGTTAAGTGGCTGCAGGCTGCAGATCCTCTGAGGACCATGATCATCAGACCTCTGCCGACCTGCTGTCCACTCAGGGAATTACTGCTACTCACACTATAGACAACTGTTTTGAGGATATAATCAATATTTATGATCTCCAGGGGGTTTGACTCCATGTAAAATATATTTCAATAAAAACATATCTATCTGAATGATGGAGGAATGTGAAAACATGGCCAGGATTTTCTACATTTTATTTATTCAACTTTCTGGTTGAGTATGGCTTCATTCAGACATAATATGGTCTGATCGAAGGTTTGCAGAAACATATATTATATATATATATATATAAAACATATATAAAACATATTTTTCGATCTACAAATAATGTGATTTATCATTTGAGAAATGTCTTAGTAAAAATGGCAACCATCCTCCTATTCCTCTGTATAGAATTGCAAGATTTCTATGGTAGTAAACTGAATGTGTATTAAGCTTTGACTCTGGGGACTAGATTTTTAGATAACAAAAAATTATTCAACAGATTTCATACATGCAAAGATATCGGTGCCCTATTTTTTATCATGAGGATCCATGAATTATTCCCTGGGAAATTGGTAAAATTGTGAAAAACAATCTCTCAACATTAATGAAAGTGATAAAAACTTTCTCCCTTCTACTTCTGCCTCTTAATCCAGATCTGCAAAATGTAACTGTCTCCTTCATGGCCCATGTCACAACTTTCCACCAAGTTTCGTGGAAATCTGTTTTGTAGTTTATTCATGAATTAATCCTGCTGAAACAAACAGACAGGGGCAAAACATAGAACAGGTAATTGATTAAGGAAATGTCAGCTGATTAATGGATCAGTTAGGTCTTAAATGATCTGACTGTGTGGTTCTGGTAAAAGTTGTAAA